TCTCTCATTCGTGCTTTGTCTGATGAGTGCCTGGAAGAAGAGCCGCAAACGGAGCTCTAAAGCGCTGGATGCTGGGGGCCGGATGGGCCACGGATGGGCGACAGGGACAAGAAGGAAAGCTGAACCCATTCAGAACAGTATCATTGCCCATGCTCCTTGCGACAGGAGGCCATGGCACCATGAAAACTCCCTCACAAGCCCCTAGCAGCAATCTAAGAGTCCTCACACTGGGAAGAAAGTGTCCTCAAACCATCGCAATCGCTGTATGGCAAAGGATGCAGAGCACGTGCTTTCCGCGGCACGTAACAGAGCTGTGACCGTGCGAAAAAAAAACGCATTGCACTTGTGTGTGCATCATGCATCTGCTCAAGTTAACATATAAATGGCACCAGGGCCATCGTCCGGGAGTTCGCCGAGGCTTGAAAGCAAACATCGAGAGCACGCAGCCAGTCGGGGCCTCAAGCGGCTCAGAGCCAGATCTTGCAAAACCAACTGCCCCAGTGATTGCGTCCACTTGACGGGGCAGGGGGGAGCATCATGAGCATCAGCTGGGTATATTTCCGGCCACATGGCGCCCCCTACACCCCAGATCTTGCAAAACCAACTGCCCCCAGTGATTGCGTCCACTTGACGGGGCAGGGGGGAGCATCATGAGCATCAGCTGGGTATATTTCCGGCCACATGGCGCCCCCTACACCCCAGATCTTGCAAAACCAACTGCCCCAGTGATTGCGTCCACTTGACGGGGCAGGGGGGAGCATCATGAGCATCAGCTGGGTATATTTCCGGCCACATGGTGCCCCCTACACCCCAGATCTTGCAAAACCAACTGCCCCAGTGATTGCGTCCACTTGACGGGGCAGGGGGGAGCATCATGAGCATCAGCTGGGTATATTTCCGGCCACATGGCGCCCCCTACACCCCAGATCTTCAGATCTTGCAAAACCAACTGCTCCAGTGATTGCGTCCACTTGACGGGCAGGGGGGAGCATCATGAGCATCAGCTGGGTATATTTCCGGCCACATGGCGCCCCCTACACCCCAGATCTTGCAAAACCAACTGCCCCAGTGATTGCGTCCACTTGACAGCATCATGAGCATCAGCTGGGTATATTTCCGGCCACATGGCGCCCCCTACACCCCAGATCTTGCAAAACCAACTGCCCCAGTGATTGCGTCCACTTGACGGGGCAGGGGGGAGCATCATGAGCATCAGCTGGGTATATTTCCGGCCACATGGCGCCCCCTACACCCCAGATCTTGCAAAACTAACTGCCCCAGTGATTGCGTCCACTTGACGGGGCAGGGGGGGAGCATCATGAGCATCAGCTGGGTATATTTCCGGCCACATGGCGCCCCCTGCACCCCAGATCTTGCAAAACCAACTGCCCCAGTGATTGCGTCCACTTGACGGGGCAGGGGGGAGCATCATGAGCATCAGCTGGGTATATTTCCGGCCACATGGCGCCCCCTACACCCCAGATCTTGCAAAACCAACTGCGTCCACTTGACGGGGCAGGGGGGGAGCATCATGAGCATCAGCCCCTACACCCCAGATCTTGCAAAACCAACTGCCCCAGTGATTGCGTCCACTTGACGGGGCAGGGGGGAGCATCATGAGCATCAGCTGGGCATATTTCCGGCCACATGGCGCCCCCTACACCCCAGATCTTGCAAAACCAACTGCCCCAGTGATTGCATCCACTTGACGGGGCAGGTGGGAGCATCATGAGCATCAGCTGGGTATATTTCCGGCCACATGGCGCCCCCTACACCCCAGATCTTGCAAAACCAACTGCCCCAGTGATTGCGTCCACTTGACGGGGCAGAGGGAGCATCATGAGCATCAGCTGGGTATATTTCTGGCCACATGGCGCCCCCTACACCCCAGATCTTGCAAAACCAACTGCCCCAGTGATTGCGTCCACTTGACGGGGCAGGGGGGAGCATCATGAGCATCAGCTGGGTATATTTCCGGCCACATGGCGCCCCCTACACCCCAGATCTTGCAAAACCACTGCCCCAGTGATTGCGTCCACTTGACGGGGCAGGGGGGAGCATCATGAGCATCAGCTGGGTATATTTCCGGCCACATGGCGCCCCCTACACCCCAGATCTTGCCAAAACCAACTGCCCCAGTGATTGCGTCCACTTGACGGGGCAGGGGAAAGCCATCAATGAGGCATCACTGGGTAAATATTTCCGCCACATGGTGCCCCCCTACACCCCAGAATCTATGCAAAACCACTGGCCCCCGTGTATTGCGTCCACTTGACGGGGCAAGTGGGAGCATCATGACATCCGCTGGTATATTTTCCGGCCACCTGGCGCCCCCCTAACAACCCAGATTTCTTGCAAAACCAACTGCCCCAGTGATTGCGTCCACTTGACGGGGCAGGGGGGAGCATCATGAGCATCAGCTGGGTATATTTCCGGCCACATGGCGCCCCCTACACCCCAGATCTTCAGATCTTGCAAAACCAACTGCTCCAGTGATTGCGTCCACTTGACGCATCATGAGCATCAGCTGGGTATATTTCCGGCCACATGGCGCCCCCTACACCCCAGATCTTGCAAAACCAACTGCCCCAGTGATTGCGTCCACTTGACAGCATCATGAGCATCAGCTGGGTATATTTCCGGCCACATGGCGCCCCCTACACCCCAGATCTTGCAAAACCAACTGCCCCAGTGATTGCGTCCACTTGACGGGGCAGGGGGGAGCATCATGAGCATCAGCTGGGTATATTTCCGGCCACATGGCGCCCCCTACACCCCAGATCTTGCAAAACCAACTGCCCCAGTGATTGCGTCCACTTGACGGGGCAGGGGGGAGCATCATGAGCATCAGCTGGGTATATTTCCGGCCACATGGCGCCCCCTACACCCCAGATCTTGCAAAACCAACTGCCCCAGTGATTGCGTCCACTTGACGGGGCAGAGGGAGCATCATGAGCATCAGCTGGGTATATTTCTGGCCACATGGCGCCCCCTACACCCCAGATCTTGCAAAACCAACTGCCCCAGTGATTGCGTCCACTTGACGGGGCAGGGGGGAGCATCATGAGCATCAGCTGGGTATATTTCCAGCCACATGGCGCCCCCTACACCCCAGATCTTCAGATCTTGCAAAACCAACTGCCCCAGTAATTGCGTCCACTTGACGAGGCAGGACTGCCCGGGGCGACTGCGTGTAACTGGCGCAAAAACGCAGCCCGGCAAGGCTTCCCAACGTCCAGCGAGGAAGTCACGTGAGCGTTGCAGGAGGGCCTCGCGGCCGACTGTGCCCGGTTCGCACGCCAGGCCGCGAAAAACACTTTGCATGGCAGTCACGGGCGTGCCGAATTCGGGATAGCGTCGAAGCTGGACCACGCAAAAAGGGGGGATGCCTACAATGGCGGTGATAGAGGAGCTCTGGGTAGATCTTCCGGAGTGTGTATCGAGTTGATTCATGGCAACAGGAAACAATACCCTCGGATCGACAAGGCGCAAGCGCCACGGAATTGGACATGCTTGGCAAGTCTGAATCACATCTACGGCATGACATCCAAAAAGTACGAACGAGAACAATTGATGGAAAGCAGCGGCATGCAGCTCGGGACTGCATCTCATCAACTTCCTCGTGAATTGTTCAACCCGATGCCCTTCACGTGGCCGTTTGTCGAGGTTTCGTTTTTGTTCCTCTTTTGCTTTCTGAAACCCTGATGACAATATTGCCGAGACTATGGTCATTACGGTCGCTTTCGTGTTGGGGTTTACTCCGGGCGGCATGAATGTAATAAATGCGCAATCGATCATATCGAATGGCAGAGTTGCATGCCGCTTTTCAGCACGCGGGTGGCTTGCAAGCACTGTGCGGCCTCTCGGAGCCGGGGGTTCGTTCGAGCTCTGGCTCGCTCACCCCGGATGGCGTCCTCGACACGGCGGGTTTGTTGCAGATCTGTGCATACATCCTGGCGCCAAACATGTATCAACTGCAACGGCCCCGCGTTCAACTAAGCGGCGGAACGCATCATGCACGGCTTCGCAGCTTTCGTGAGGGGGTGAGTTTGCCGGGACCGCTTGTAAGACACCGTGTGCTCACACATGGTGAGTCGCAAGACTCGGCGCTGTCCACGAGGCATCTTCGCAGTTTCAATCGGGTTGCCCCAAGGGGATTTGAGCAGAATTTGAGCGTGAGCGCGCAACTCTGCTAGCCTTATAGCGACGGGTTCCACGGCGCCGGTCGCCCATGGATGGGTTGAATGGTGAATCGCATTCCGCGGTATCAACGAAGGGAGGGCTGTGGGCAAGTGGGGGTGGGTATTTACCCATCACAAGCGGGTACTGGCAAATCATATCCAAGCAAGCAAGCAAGCAAGCAAGCAAGCAAGCAAGCAAGCAAGCAAGCAAGCAAGCCGCTGCATCCCAAACCCTGTGCTCCAGGCCATGACCCTGCCAAAAGTGCCGACTCAGGAGCATAAAGGGTGATGGTTCCTACGTTTGCTGATCCGGCGGACTAATCATGTTTTCCAAGTGATATCGAAGACTTCGGGGTTACAGAACACAATCTTTGTGATACCCTTTGCTATAGAACCAAACCACATTTTTGCACTACGAGTTATCCCATGCTCTAGCAATGCACACATCACGAAATTCACAAAACTAGAAGTATCCACAGGAAGAGATGCCAGCTAACCGAAATCAACGACAAGGCTTAAGATGGTTGATGGTTGCGAGAGATTCCCTTTCCATCTGGAACACATTCTCTGGTTGTGCACGAGGAAGGGGAACCGTTGCTAAACAAACGGGTGCCCAAACGAATACTATTTGATGAAGGCTTGTAGTATTGAAGCAGATGAAAAGATCGACCACCTGTGGACATGTCCATACGGCAGAAGTTTACTTCGACAAGGTTATGAGGCGGTGTTGAGCGCACAAGCGGCACATGAGGGGATAAGAAGGATAAGAGTGCAAGATGCTTGCAAGATGCTTGCAAGGTGCTTTTTGGGCCTTTTCCCCTATTCGCCATCTGCGAGACCGCCCTCATTGGCGCCGCGCAAGTGGAACGCAGGACTCCTGGCTTCGCTTCTCGCCGTGCAACACACGCCAACAGATCGTACACGAGCCGCACCCGCGCATCACACATGCCGACGCTACTGGAAGGTCCTCTGCCGAAGGTCTTCTTCTGGCAGGTGAAAGAATGTGCATCCGGCATGGTGTTTGAAGTGTACACATACGTCAAGATACCAAAGTCTGTAAGTTCTTCGCGGCCAGTTCGCAGCGGATGCAAGAGGATTCGAGGCAGCTTCTGGCAGCTTGCTTTGCAACGAGCTTGGCTCGGCCTGCAGAGTCGACGGCCAAGACCTGGGTGCCGACAAGAGCTAGAAAAAAGAAGAAATGGACAGAAACTGCGAGAGGTGTTCATGGCTCCTGCTTGCTCCCTCGGCTGGGGGCACTGTGCGCACTGGTCGTGACGAGCTCGTGCCGGAGCCTGCCCGAAGTTCGGGTGCTCTTCTTTCCTTGCCACCTTTGTTTCCCACTTTAAGCAACCTTTCAGAAGGCATTGCAAAAGCCAAAACAACATATGGACCCCGCCATGTTGTAGCGCTGTGTAGCGCTGTTGTGCCCTTTAGGCTTCTTGGGCCTCTCCACCTCCAGAGCCAGGGCCTGGCTCCGAGCACGCTCCGCGGTGCAGGTGTCTCTGACTGCACCTCATGCGAGCTTCGGAACGTAAGGTCCTCTCTCAGAGTTTTCCCTCCAACAAGTACCAAAAAGATCTCTCTCTTCTTTTCAAGACTCTTTGAGTTCTTGGACTGAGAAGGCCGCAGCTGTGGAGCGCCGTGAATCCCGTGCTGGCAACCTTGGTTTCTTTCACAGAATGTAAATGTGACCAAGAAAAGGTTCCCGTCCGTTACACATCTACGTGAGAAGCTTTAACAAGCAACAGCTTGCTACAACTCAGAGTGACGTGTCCGTGATACAGACACCCACACGAAGGCTGGCCCTGCATTGCGGTGTCGTCTGCAACGCGAGAACATTCCGCCGCAATGGTGTGCCCACCATCTGTTCCGGTTCTGGATACGGAACAGGAGCAATGAGTCTAGCAGTGAAGAGTCGCACGGACTTGCCACGACTTAGGTGTGCAGTGCTCAGTTGTGCAAGGTCATCTCTACCAGGCTTGGGGCCCGACAAGGATACCAAGGATCGCCATGGTGAGGCTCCGTTCGAGCGACGAGCTGCGATGAAAGAGGTCCTGGGCACACCCGGCACACCCGGCACATCCGGCACACCCGACATCCTCCCTCCAACTTGACAAAAACGCTCAATGCAAGGGCATCGAACAGGCTACGACGGTGGGCCTCGCCCTCGAGCCACATCAGCAGCCTCTCAATTCCTGGGTCAGTATGGACATGGACATGGGCGTATGGCCGCCTTGAAGCCGTGAGAAGGCGAGAACTCACTCAAAGTTCTCCTTCTGTTCACTCCGAAAATATATGCTCCTTTGGTTTCAGGCGGGCATTTCATAAGCCTCCAGCATGCTAGGCTACACAGGCGCCAGAACAAGGACTCTCTTCTTCGCGGGGTGCGGAGTCAAAACAATAAGGGAAGGATTGCCAGCAGTTGCAGACCAGACCGTACTCGTTTCCTTTCTGCACCCGAAATCCGCCGAGGCCTCGGGCCGGAGGTGTATAGGTTGTCAGAACAGGCACCAATCCTCCCCACACCCAAAGCCATTTTTCGGACCCCTTTTTTTGCCTCAAATGGGTACCCCCCCTGGGAAACCGGGGCCCCCCCCCCCCCACCCCCCCCGCCCCACCCCCGCCCCCCCCCCCCCCCCCCCCCCCCCCCCACCCCACCCCCCCCCCCCCCCACCCCCCTCGCCACGATTTTTCGGGCAAATGGGGTGAGCATGGAGGGGACGAGCCGAAGAGTCTAAGCTTGAACCGAAACCCTAAACCTGAAACCTTAAATCTTAGCTCGCCCCCCCTTTCCCCTCTGCCCCCCTTCCCCCCCCACCCCTACCCCCCCCTGAGGGGCCAACCCTAAAGCATGAACCTTGAGCCCTAAGCCCTCAATCCTAAACTAACCCTCAACCCTAAACCCCAAACCATAAACCATAAACCCGGAACCCTAAACCGTAAACCCAACCCTTATTGCTTGGGTCCAGCGACTTGGGCGCTGCGGAATCACCATGCTCACGCGGATGCGCTGGGCCGGGCCGAGGCGGGTCGCGTAGCGTTAAAATTATACCTTTTCCCTGCATATGTGGGGACCAGATTCAGAATGGGGATCAACACGTGCTCTCTTTCAAGTCTTACTTCTTGAGTTGAGGAAGGCACAACCCCTAGTAGCTGGAGAACGGCTGGTACACCGGTAAAGGGCCGCTTGTGGGTTAGAGCTCCTTGGCTTTCCTATTGGGTTGAGTGAAACGTGTCCCGCGCATTCATAAGGCTCATGACCGATGTTTGAAAAATAACGGCTGATTCCCACCTTCCCATCCACTCCTGCTCGGCTTCTGCTTGCCTCCAAGGCACTGCCATAGCAATGGGGCAGCCACAGGCCCTTCATGTCTCCAATTGCAAACGGCTGCTTCCAACCACAACGGACAGAAATAGGCCGGACGTGTGCGGTACATTATGAGATACCAGAAAGAAGAAAACATTAACACAGTTCATGATTCTGGCAACAGCGTTAACACTGTCACACGGTCCCTCAGTCTCTTCATGTCTCTCCATTAGCTGATTTTCTCTAAGGCGCGAGAGAGAAAGAGAGAGAGAAAGAGAGAGAGAAAGAGAGAGAGAGAGAGAGACGGCCTTTTCCTCCGGCATCGCTAGCATATCCGGCGCACTAATCGGCATATCGCTCTCAAAGGAGAGCGAAAGGGGGAGCTGAAAGGCCCTCTCAAAGGCTCCGCTCACTCCGGGGCATCTCGCTCTCTTCTCTTTGCTTTCAAAAGGCAAGGTGGAGAGAGGGACGACGGTTTTAATATGGAAACATGTGGAACCACGCCATCAGAGTGCATCAAAAGAAGCATCCCCCGCAGGATAAGCTTGAATTTACAGCCGGTCCTCGGCGGGGATGTTTGTTTCGGCACTGGCGCCTTTTGGGTAGTTGCCGACCCACTTCTGGTCTTCTGAGCTGGTGGGCTTGATTCCGTCATCAGAGCTCCGTGGGCAACAGAACTGTGGCTTCGCATAAAGGAAGATGAAAACCTGACACGCGTGTCTCACATTGCACGACACGCCACGCTGCGACCCGTGACAGAGCACACGCAGGGTGCTCGCGCACCGAGGCAGGGGCGGTCATGACCAGGATCGGCAGGAAGGTCCCCCACTGCAAGTGTGCAAAGGCTGCAAAGGTCTGAACTCAACTCGGGGCAAGTCTGGACTGTCGGACAACTCGAAATGGAAGCAGAGACAGGCTGAGAGGAAGATGCAGGGCTGAGACAACATAAGTGACATAGACGTCGCGTGTCTGGCTTAAACGCTCCATGTCGTGCTGGTGTGGTGTTCGCCTGGAAGTGGTGCTCCTGGAAGTGAGTCACCGTGTAGAGGCAGTAGAGGGTCGGCCTCGGACGTCGAACGAAAAAGAGAAAGTTTTCCTTTGATAAACTTTTCTTCTCCCAAAGAAGATCGCCCGTGTGCTCTCGGCATGGGACGCCGCCGCTGCCTTGCACACAAACTTCACGATCGCCGACATGCCTCGAGTTCAGCGCTCCCCTCTCAGACTCCTCACACAGCCTCTCTGTCCCCTTCTCTTCTTCTCTTGTGTGCTGTGCTGGGGCCATGTCGCTTGAGGATGGCCACCGACAGCCAACCGTTTCCAACCTCCGGAAAAGAACGTGAAGGGCTCCCGAAGGGGTCAACAGCATATTTGCAAGATTTGGAAAGAGCCGTGTCCATGCCCAACCATGCCTCTGCAAACAGCACGCAGTACGTGAGAAGGTCCCATCCCCTTGCCCAAGTTGCACAAAAGAGAAAAGCATCCTCTCGACCCTGCATAGCACATGCAATGCCAACAACATCTCGGCCTCTTATCGATGCACGGGGTGGTGATGAGAGCTTTGTCTTCTGGACACGCCTCCTTGCGGGGCTGCGGGGGCTTTGGCCAGGGATGTGCTTGAAACGGTGTGAACAGAACGAAGGAAAACGCACGATTTAACACAAATTTACACAGCCAGCGCACATCTTGGATGCAGCCTCCATGGACATGGACTGGGCTGCAAAGACCAGCAAGGCGACCTTCAAAAAAAGTCTCACTAAACGTCTCCCAACTTTCCCTAAAGTTTTCTTGGCAACTCAAGCTCCCGAGGCTTTGTCCAGAAAGCTCTGCATCTTCAACAATGTGTTGGCTTCCCAAACATTGTACCTTCGCTACAATACAGTAATTGGTACGGCTGCTACCAAGGAGAAACTCAGCGAATCTCAGCAAAAGCAACGACCTGGGGCAAGTGCTGCCCGTGCTTGAGCTGGCGCTCGGTCAGCACCGCCGCCAGGGCTGAGAGCCCTGCCTTCAGGAGCGCCAAGCCTCAGAAAAAGGAGAGAAGCCAAAAAGAAAAGGAACGGGCAACAGCATCGTCTCATAAAACAAATAGTCGAACAACAAGAATAAAAGCACCAAAAAAATGAAGAAAAAAATGGAAGAAGAACATGCAAGGCCGCGCACCGCTGCCGGTGAGTGTGCCTCTGCGTACTTAACAAGCTACGTAAGACAAAGGTAGAGCCGGGCGCAAAGGCGAAGGAGCGCCTCGTCTCAACTCCACCTCTTGGCCCGAAGTGGTGCCCACCTCTGCAGAGAAAATGCAGAGCTCTGTGGAATCCTTCGGGTGCCCTGTGGCAGGCTGGTGCCCTATCGGCGGTTGAGGCCCGGGCAGCAAAAACGACCAAGGACATGGAGATAACAAAGAGGATAAACCACTCCCAGATGCAGTCGCTGCGCCTGCAGACGTCTTGTCACAGGGACAAGCATCCCTTGTAATGGCTGCACGCCTCATATCCTTTCTCGCGTTTCGCAGCACGCAGTGCGAAGCTGCCGCAGCAAAAATCAGCCTTGAGCAGAGCAAGTCGCGCAAATTCTCTGCCAGATTGCCAGACGGCACCTCGAGCTGTTCATGGAGATAAACAGCAAGCCTGGCAAGAGCGGGGAACACCAGTTGTTCCCACAACTGCCACACAACTCAACACAGCCTCCACCCCTGCCGATCGCACAAAGAGCGACCACATCGCCCAGGCAGTAAGTCTTGGCCCCAAATTCGAACAGCACTGAACAGCACGCCACCATACGCTACCCGAAACCCAGGTGAAGAGCTGTAAGGGCATGACCAGGGTGAGACAGATAAACGCCTGGTGGTGCTCCCAACACCACAATTTTTGAAGACTTCCCTTGTTGCCATACCTCAGGCACGGCCGGGTGGGTTTGAGGGTTCCAGATCTGTTACAGTGGTAGACTTGAGAGCCACGGGCTGGGACGAAAGCTCTAGTAGGCCTAGGACTGGGGACACGGAGCTTACAGGAACAGAGAGGCGCCGAGAGAGCAAAGCGCCGACCCTCAGCCCGGAAGATGCAGAGAGCAATGAGACAGACACCTTTGCGAACCATAGACCGGCAGACATGTTGCAGCATGCCCAGCTCAGTGATTCAAGTAGCTTTCTCTCTCTTGTCGCACATGACACGCAACGGCCAGCATCAGCAGCATCAGGCACCACACCCACACCCAGGTTAGCATCAGCAGCATCAGGGGGGCCCCGCTTCTCCTTCGAACGTCTCCGAAAAACACCTACCAAAGAAACCCAAATCTAGCCCAAAACAGGCCCCCATTGGCACCACACCCAGGCCAGCAGGGGGGCCCCGCTTCTCCTTCGAACGTCTCCGAAAAACACCTACCAAAGAAACCCAAATCTAGCCCAAAACAGGCCCCCTTGGCACCACACCCAGACCAGCATCAGCAGCATCGGGGGGCCCCGCTTCTCCTTCGAACGTCTCAGAAGCACACTTACCAAAGAAACCCAAATCTAGCCCAAAACAGGCCCCTTGGCAACGATGGTTTTCCCGGCACCAGACCGGGGATAGCCGAAAAAACCCACCAAAATTGGTCCACCCCCCCCCCGTGGGTGGCTTAAATAGGGTTTATTTGGAAGCTGGCACTCGGGTTTTGTTATTACCAAACCCATTCCGACGAGGGTACGAGGCTGTCACGTGGGAAACTGGGAGTCTATGTCTTTTCGGGGTCGCCAGACATGTTCTTAGATTGGAAGAAAACTTGAACCCAAAAATCTTAGGGACCAGGGCTTGCGATTTGGCTCTTTGGAAGAAAACTTGAACCCAATATCTTAGGGACCAGGGCTTGATTTGGCTCTTTGGAGGAAAACTTGACGTTCCCACGAGGGCACGCTGCTGTCACGTAAGTCGTACTATCATGGCCTCTTCTAACCTTGTTCTTGTCCCTCCCGCTTCTCTCCCCCTGACCCTGTCACTCCTTCTCTATATCTCCTCATTCTTTTTAAAGTGGTACGAATGAGAGGAAGGCAACGTCCCCCCCCTGGAGGCACCCAGCATCAGCTTCCACCCCTTCCTGTTCTTCTCAGAAAAGAAAGAAAAAACAGAGCGAGAGAGAGAGAGAGAGAGAGAGAGAGTGAGTGCAGCGTGGGGCGGTCGTGGGGAAACCCCTTGTCCTCAAGCCCGCTGAAAAAGGGGGAAAAAAGGAGCGCGAGAGGGGTGTGGAGAAGAGAGACGAGTGAGGAGCGAGAAGAAGGTGCAAACTCCCTTTTTTTCTTGTCTAAACAGAGAACGAGATAAGGGGAAAGCCAAGAGGCCCTCTCGCTCTCTCTCCCCCACGGTCTACGCTTCTCTCCATGCCCTGCGTTGTCTCATTCCCTCTCTCCTTCTGCAAATCTCTTGGAAGCTGATGCTCCTTTTTTTGTGGGCAGGTGCCTCCAGGGGAGGACGCTGCCTTCATCTCATTCCGCCTTCCCGTACCACTTTAACAGAAAAATGAGGAGATAGAGAGAAAAAGAGACAGGGTCAGGGGGGAGAGAAGAAGGAGGGACAAGAACAAGGTAGGAAGAACTTGTAAATTCCTCTTCTCTCTTCTCTTTTCCTCTTTCTTTTCCACAAGAAAGAAAATTAATATGGACTTGAGAAAGGGGAAGCTAAGAGTCAAGAGACCCTTTCTCTCCCACGGTCTATGCTTCTCTCTCTATGCCTCGCCGTGTCTCACTCCCTCTCTGCTTCAGCAAATCTCTGCTTTGTAGTTCACCCTCCTCCTCGTCTTCCAATTCTACAAGACATGCCGCCCATAAAAGCAAAAAGATGGAGAGAGCGAGCGAGAGAGAGAGAGAGAGAGAGAGAGAGAGAGAGAGATAGAGAACGAGCGAGCGAACCGGAAGAAGAAAGGAACAAGGTAGGAAGACATGTAAACTCATCTTTAACAAGAAAAACTGATTGGGAGCATAAACTTGTCCAATTTTTTTGGAGGGCTGCGCCTGCGACTTGTCTTTTTGGGAGCACATTTTGCCAAAATCTTGGGGGGCGTGTTTTGGGAGCATCCCCTTCTCCAAAGTCTTAGGAAGACGGTGCTTGCGATTTGTCTTTTGGGAGCACAGAAAATCTTAAGTCTTCGGCCCGCTTTCTTTCAAAGGGTTCAAAAAAATGGAGGTCTCCGGTGTGGGTGTCCGTGAAAAGTAGGTCTTGTTACAGAAAAGAAAAACAGGACACCCTAATTTTGGATACATGTAACATCATTTCTTTCTTTTATTGCCTCTTGCGCAAGGAACGACAGGAAGGCAACGGTGGAAAAAGGGGAGCGCCTTTCCTTCAAGTTTCCAAAATCGGAGTCTCTGGTGTGGGTGTCCTGTTAAGGTGGGTGGCTACAGAAAAGGAAGAAAAGGACACCCGAAACACTCTAAAAAACTTGGACAACCCTTTTCTACATGCTAAATTGTTTACTTTATACCGAATGAAACGAACGAAAGTGAGAGAGGACAAAGAAGCACTTTTCTTTCAAGGTTCCAAAAACAAGATCTCCGGTGCGGGTGTGTATTTAATATTTCGCTACAAAAAAGGAAAAGGACACCCGAAACACTCAAAAAAAACTTGGACACCCCTCTTTACATATTACATTAGATATTCATACTTAAATTAAAGCGTTCAGAAAATGAAACGAACGAAAGGTGAGAGTGAACAAAGAGCACCTTTTCTTTCAAGGTTTCGTGGGGTCATTTCTTTGCTCCAAACAGTCAAATCGCAAGCCCAGGTCCCTAAGATTTTGAGTTCAAGTTTTGCTCCAAAGAACATCAAAGAGCCAAATCGCAAGCCCTGCTCCCTAAAACTTTGGCTTCAAGCTTTGCTCCAAAATCGCCAAATCGCAAGCCCTGCTCCCTAAAACTTTGGCTTCAAGTCTTGCTCCAAAAGGCCAAATGACAAGCCCTGGTCCCTGAAACTTTGGCTTCAAGTTTTCCTCCAAAAAGTCAGATCGCAAGCCCTGGTGCTTAAGATTTTGGGTTCAAGTTTTCCTCCAAAGAGTCAAAGCGCAAGCCCTGGTCCCTAAGATTGTGGGGTCATGTTTTGCTCCAAACAGCCAAATCGCAAGCCCTGGTCCCCAAAATTTTGGGTTCAATTTTTCTTCCAAAGAGACAAATCACAAGCCCTGGTCCCTAAGATTTTGGGTTCAATTTTTCTTCCAAAGAGCCAAATCACAAGCCCTGGTCCCTAAGATTTTGGGTTCAAGTCTTCCTCCAAAGAGCCAAATCGCAAGCCTTGGTCCCGCAGATGCTGGGTTCAAGCTTTCTCCAAAGAGCCAAATCGCAAGCTCTGGTCCCTAAGATTTTGGGTTCAAGTTTTCCTCCAAAGACCCAAATCTGGTCCCTAAGATTGCGGGCAAACCGGAAGCCTTGGTCCCTAAGATTTGGGGTTCAAGTTTTCCTCCAAAGAGCCAAATCACAAGCCCCGGCCCCTAAGATTTTGGGTTCCAGTTTTGCTCCAAAAAGCCAAATCGCAAGCCCTGGTCCCTAAGATTGTGGGTTCCAAGTAGTTTTCCTCCAAAGAGCCAAATCGCAAGCCCTGGTCCCTGAGATTGCGGGGTCATTCTTTGCTCCAATCAGTCAAATCGCAAGCCCTGGTCCCCAAATTTTGGGTTCAAGTTTTCCCCCAAAGAGCCAGTTCGCAAGCCCTGGTCCCCAAAATGTTCGGTTCAAGTTTTCCTCCAAAGAGTCACATCGCAAGCCCTGGTCCCTAAGATTTTGGCTTCAAAAAGCCAAATCGCAAGCCCTGGTCCATATGATGGTGGGTTCAATTTTTCCTCCAAAGAGCCAGATCGCAAGCCCTGGTCCCGAAAAACTTGGGTTCAAGTTTTCTTCCAAAGAGTCAAATCGCAAGCCCTGGTCCCGCAGATTGTGGGTTCAAGTTTTCCTCCAAAGAGCCACCCCAAATCTTAGGTACCAGGACTTGTGAATTTGACTCGTTGGAGCAAAGAATGACCCCACAATCTTAGGGACCAGGGCTTGCGATTTGTCTCTTTGGAGGAAAACTTGAACCCAACATTTTAGAGAGCAGGGCTTGCGATTTGGCTTTTTGGAGGAAAACTTGAACCTAACATCTTAGGGACCAAATCTTAGGGAGCAGGGCTTGCGATTTTGCCCCCCCAAATGTTGTTCCTACCCCTTTCCCGTTTTGTGTGGTATTTGCAGGACTTTTGCAGAGTGCCAAGGGGATCCCGGCAAATTTTGACCGGCAATCCGCCTTCCCGTACCACTTTAACAGAAAAATGAGGAGATAGAGAGAAAAAGAGACAGGGTCAGGGGGGAGAGAAGAAGGAGGGACAAGAAGAAGGTAGGAAGAACATGTAAATTCCTCTTCTCTCTTCTCTTTTCCTCTTTCTTTTCCACAAGAAAGAAAATTAATATGGACTTGAGAAAGGGGAAGCTAAGAGTCAAGAGACCCTTT